TTTTTTTTTTTTTTTCAAGTTTCCATCATTCAAAAAGTATTTGGTTAAATCTCAAATCCTTTAATTTTAGAGTGTTGTATAATCTTTGTTTCTTAATTATTTTAAATATTTTTTAGTTTTTCATTTTAAAAAAAAAATTTTTTTGTTTTTTTAAAATTAATTTGTTAAATATGTCTATATATATTTTTAATTCATGAACTCATAATATATTTATATAAGTTTAAGGGTTAAATATATACACATATATATATATATATAGAGAGTTAATGGAATAACTAATTAAAGGACCAAAAAAGTATGGATGCTTTTAGAATTATAATTGAAAACTTTTTTATGTAGCCGTTGAATACTTTTAAATATATGCATGTTTGATAATTTTTTTTCAAATCATTTTTTAAAAAAATTGTAGAAAGCCACATCATATGTATAGTAATTTTATATATAAAATCAAAAGTTTCATTTTTGACCTTTTTTATTGTGACTTTTAAAGAAAACACTTAATATTTAATATAATTACAAAATTACTTATTAAAATTCAACTTCATATAATTTAATTATATAATAATTTATAATATTTTAATAATTATATATCTTATAATATTTTTAAAATTTTAATAAATAATTAATAAAATTTACCATATTTTATTCATAATATCTTTAAAAAATAAATAATAAAATATTAAAATGATTTTTAGTTACAATTATAACATAGCACAGTTCAATATAATCACATTTATAACTATAGTTACAATATTTTACAACAATACCGAATGCACCCTACGTCTCTTAGATTTAGAGGGCCAAAAAATTATTTAAAATAGTTAAGAAACAAACCTTATGCAAAATTTCGAAGTTAGGAGATCAAAAATTGACATTTAACTAAAGTATTTGAACTCCACCTCCTTTAATTTGTACTTTTTATTTCAAAGTTAGTGGCATTTTGTCTTAGTCTGCCTGTTATTACTTAGAGCTGTACCTGTCATCTTATTGTTGAAATATTTTTTTCGTCCCTCCTCCGTATTTTCCTTAAACCAAATAAATTCGATCATGCGAAATACATTCTCCAAAAATTATATCACCTCTTTACGGTTGATACAATTTTATTTCATGATAATTTGATATCCTTGATCGTACTTGTATACTGATTTAAGTGTTCTCTACAAAGTATTAAAAAAAAACCATTTACATATAATTATGAGCTCTTTATTATTATTATTTTTCAATATTAGAGGTAGAATTTAAATGTCATATCTCAAATTAATAAAAAAAAACTTTATAAGTTAATAGTCATTAATTCACAAAGTTATTTTCAATTATGAGTTAGTTATTTTATTATTTAAATTATAAAATAAAAATAATTAAATAAATAAAATTTTATAACATTCAAAGATTATTCATTTAACAATAATTATTAATAGTTCAACGATAGAATTCAAATTATACAATAATCTTTCATATAATTACTTTCACATTTGTCATGAATCTATTAACATGAATCGAATAACTTTGTCGGAGAAGATTCTCTCTAACAATTTCGTGCAACAAGAACAAGAATCTGGGAGCATGCTCATATATACATGTCTCCCTTGGTATTAAACATTTAAACCCACAAAAAAACCTTCTTTTTTTTTTTTGTTTCTCTCTTTTGGTTTTTTTTCCTTTGGGATGTAACACAATTATTGAGCTAATTAATAGAAATGATAAGGCCATTCAATGGAACTCCATCATGCGACCGATGGTTCACACAACTCGTTAAAGGAGGTGAAAGGTTGATTAAATCTGTGGTCGAATATTTAATTACGAATAACTAATAAAATTAATTTATTGTTATTGTTGTAAAAAAGAAAAAAGGAAGAAGAAGAAGAAGAAGAAAAGGGCATTCAATGGTGTCCGCGCATTTGTCTCTTCCCTAACCGAGGACTGTTTTAAGGCAATCCACGCCAAATTCCATCGTCGCGCTTCTCTCCTATCGCCGTACAAACTCTACACCGTGGCAGCTATGGAGGAGATACAGCACCGTACGGTGACAGTCAACGGTATTAACATGCACGTGGCGGAGAAGGGGACAGGTCCTGTAATCCTCTTCCTCCATGGATTCCCGGAACTCTGGTATTCCTGGCGTCACCAGATCACTGCTCTGTCTTCCCTTGGGTACAGGGCAGTGGCTCCAGATCTCCGTGGGTACGGCGACACCGACGCCCCGGAAGACCCTAACAGTTACACCAGCCTCCACGTGGTGGGGGATCTCGTTGCCCTCCTGGACTCGGTGGCGCCGGACCAGGAGAAGGTATTTGTAGTCGGACATGATTGGGGTGCGATGATGGCTTGGAACTTGTGCCTGTTCCGGCCAGACAGAGTCAGGGCTCTGGTCAACATGAGTGCTGTGTTCACTCCAAGGAACCCCAAAAGCAAACCCCTCCAAACTTTCAGGGCTGTCTATGGCGATGACTACTACATATGCAGATTCCAGGTTCCAATACTCCTTTTTCTGCCTTTTCTTCTTTTTTTAATGGGAAATTACGCACTTTTGATCTACTGTTTGAAGTGATTTTTTTAATGTGATTGTAGCTGAAATCGACATGATGGTTGCAATTTTTTTAATAATTCACTGTGAAAATTGTTTGAATCTTGGCATGGATGTGGATTTTGCACAGGAGCCTGGAGAAATTGAAGCAGAATTTGCCCAGATAGGAACGGAGAGAGTGCTGAAGGAGTTCTTGACATACCGGACGCCGGGGCCTTTATATTTACCCAAAGGGAAAGGATTTGGACATCCGGTGGATACACCGATTAGCTTGCCGGCTTGGTTGTCGGAGGAAGATGTGAAATATTATGCAAGCAAGTATGAGAAGAAGGGCTTCACCGGACCAGTGAACTATTACCGGAACTTAGATTTGTATGTTACCATTTTTCTTATGACTATGATACATATAGACTGTTTGAATCAGCTGTTCTAATGCAGCGGATATCCTGTATACAATAAAAGCTTTGTTTATGGTTCAAATATTCGTTTTCATTTGACAGCTAATTGCTAACCTTTGTTACCTAATTCCCCTAATCCTTGTTCTGTAATTATTTTTGTGCAGAAGCAGGGAGCTGACAGCACCATGGACTGGGGATCAAATCAAGGTACCTGTTAAGTTTCTTGTGGGTGATCAGGATCTAACCTATAACGCACCCGGAGCCAAGGATTATATACACAAGGGTGGGTTGAAGAAATATGTTCCGTTGTTGGAGGAAGTAGTAGTGATGGAAGGAGTGGCACACTTCATCAATGAAGAGAAGCCTGAAGAGATAAATAAACACATATATGACTTCTTCCAGAAGTTCTAGTTTTCTGCTTGTTAAGGGTGTGGTGCGTTTACGTGGATTTGGTGGATTTGTGTCCGCTGCCTTCGCTTGGATTGGATGTGTTCTGTTGTTTCTTTTTATTAACGATGTTTTTCTATTTTATGGTTATGGTGGCCAGATCTGTGCCTGGCTTTTTTAACTGATATATTTCTCTAAAAATTCAGACTTCAGGGTTCACGTTGTATGGTTTTGAGAACAAGTTACTGAATGATTCAAATGAATAATGTACAGTGGAACCAACGTTATAATTAACTCAATAATATTCTTTTAGTGAGATTAAGAAATTTTAAATTTGAGTTTCCTATAATATAATTTATAAAATGAAAGAGAGTTATTTTTAATTATGTAATCCCAAATTAAGAAAGAAAAAAAAAATGCATGATGGGTGTGAATCTGCACCCATGGTTGTGAATTAAATTAATACCAAAAACTTCGAATAAAGAATTTAAGGAACATATATTATAAAAAATATATATATATATATATATTCTTTGCATTTAGTAACTTATTCTGTCCATTAATGACATTCTCAAATCAAATTCACTTAACCATAATTAATCGTTGCATTCTCCTCTTCGATCAAAAGTTGAGATGCATATAAACTTCATTGGATTTGCATCTCGTAAAGTAAATCATCCTTATTTGAAATATATCCTAAGTTTCTCCTTTGTTTTTTCTTTAACTGCCCAGATACCTATTGAAGTTGAACTCCAAGAGTCCAAATACATGAATGAATACAAGAAATTAGTAGAGCAATATAACCTCCTAGAATATCAAAGTTTGATAGAACTCAACCAGTTCTTGATTTTTGACGTTTTTCAACATTGAAGTAAACGTCCAGAAGACCTGTTATCCCAGCAGATATCTTCTGGTCTACTTTCACGGGACCAACACCTTGTGGAGTACCTACAGAAACAGAATTAATGCAACATCCAATTAAAAATTTTAGCTCAGCATTGGATCTCATTACATTTAGTAAACTTTTAATTTCCTCCAACATTTCATTGAAAATGATTTCTATAACTTCTTTCCATTTTCACAATTTCACATAAAAATTCTTTTTATAATTTGCACCATACAAGACAGCTAGATTCAATAATGAACCATAGGAACAACTTATATGTGTTGACATATTAGTTAGAATCACGCAACATCTACCAATATTCTACAATCATGGAAAGGCACACATAGATTTTCAATATAAATTTTAAGAAGATAGGAAAATGAAATATCTCATGAAGATTAAAATCACAAAAATTATGCATTACATGTAACTCATATGAAAAATAACAAACAACTGTTGAAACACAAGAGTCCATATCTCACTACAATCAGCTCTCAGAACCATTAAAACACAGCAGAATCATGACTCCAAAATCCAAATATTCATCAATTTGCCTACATTCTAAACCAAGGCTAGGACAGGCCATCAGCTATGAACACACAAATGACCAATCTATCCAACATGCCACAAATGTTTGAGACTTGACACTCGAACACACACAATTGGATCTAGCAAGCAAATCATGCATAATGGTGGCAAGGATTGCAAATATGAATCATATTCACTATGACTCTCTTGATAATGACTAAACTCTTTCTTCAACCCATTTTTTTTTTCTAATTTTCCCTTTCTTCTATTTTTGATTAATATGCCAGGTTATTTGTTTTCTTAAATTGGCAAAAGAAGTTTCTGCTTAGCTATTTTAGGGAATGAAACCAAGAATCAAGGTTTTGAATTTAGTAGCTACAAACTCAGCTGAGCTGTTGTTGGTCAACCTGGGTCAGTCTGTTAATAATGCTCTCACCCTAATGAAAGCGTTCAACATATGCTATGAAGAGAGAGAGGCCAAAGTTGAGAAAGAAATGCTAAAATACCAGTCAATATGACATCTCCTTCAAAAAGAGTCATAATCGAACTTATGTGGCTAATAAGATAAGGAATCTTAAAAATCATATCCTTGGTGGAACCCTTCTGACGTGTTTCTCCATCCACCTGCCATGAAACAAATTGATCAAACCTTGATTAGTTGGAAGAAGCGATATAAGAGCTTACAGAGTAAAGAACTCAAAGATGGATGTGAATAACATATAATCAACCAAACCTTTAACCACAGCTCCAAGTTGTCAGGGTCAGGCACAGTTGATAGTGGTAGCTGTAGAAGATTTTTTGAGTCAATCTCAAGGAGTGGAGCATGATTAATGCCAGAGTATACTAGAAAACATAAAACATAAGAAGGGTTGTTCAGCAACCTTCCCTCCCTTAAAAAAGAACCTGGTCCAACAGAAAGGGGGAAATTAAAAATAAGTGTATTGCACATTAATACTTACAACAGAACTTATTGGAGTGAAGGTGTCTTGCCCTTTAGCTATTGTCCATGGAAGACCTGAAGACTGTACAAAATGATACAAAGTAATGACATTAACAAAAGAAAATATAAACAAGAAATATGGGAAGATGAATGATAACGTCACATTTTAAAAACAACTACAGTCCCTTATAGAGGTCCAAGCTTTTATCTCCCATTATGCAATTTCTATCTTGCATTAATGTAGTGCATTTTCACTCAAATAGATAACTCTGACATTTTATCAAATATCGATTAAATTTCATACTCAAGTTCTCTGCAACATAAAATAAATTTTAAGGAACTTGCTAAAGGCTTTCATGTAGCATCATGGCTCAAGTTTAAATCAATCACCTACCTCCAACTAATTTACGTGCTTCATATATAAATTTAGTCTGGAAGCAAGAATTATACAATTCCCATGGGAATATTATATCTCAAAGGTAAAAGCCACAAAATAAGGAATTGAATGCAAACAGAAAAACCAGTTCTTCATGTCCATATTGCATTAAAAACCTTTTACCTCATATCTCAAGCAAAATCATCTTATGCAAATTAGTTATAGAGGAATTAAAATGAACAAAAGTTTCACCTTTGCAACAGACTGGATTTCCCTTGCAGTCATATCTAGTGCTAAAGCATAACCTGAAGTATCGGAAATGGTTGTTTCAACATAAGTCAATTAAAAAAGGCACAAGGGAATAAAAAAGGTGAACAATTCAGGATTTAATTTGATATAAAACCAATAGGATAACTAAAAAAGTCTTCATCTTCAACTAGTAAAGCTAATGTGTTGTTCAATTTCTTTGTTCATATAAATACCATCTACCCAAAGACATTTTAACACATCAATTGGGGAAACAGCAAAATTCTTTATCCACTTGGTTGCATGATCAAATGTTTGCTTTACTATAGCTGCCCTAATGGAGCATACAGTCATTATACATATACAGTATTTATCAAGATACTGCTTGGACCGTCAAATTTTTCATTGAAGTGGAACACAATAAGGAATTAATGAATTTGAATAAGAAGCAGAGATGACCATGCTTTTAAAAATTTAGCTAGCAATTGCAGCTCTTTGGGAGCTTATGAACCAGAAACTTTTACCATTAATCCAGGAAAGTTTCAAATATTGTATCAATGAAAATCCATATAAAAAACCTTAAAAACTGAAATCAGAGAATGCCCATTTATGGCATTTGATCTAATAACAATTCAAAGGTATACCTCCTACAAAATCCATTGCAGTTTTCTCAGGAACATCCCGAGCCTTCTTCCCAATCACGACCGCAAGCTCAACTTCATGGTCCAAAGAATTCAACGGATGCGGAATCTGAATCGTGCCCCCACTTGGCAAATATGAAGATGTCGGTTTCAGGAACAAAACTGGCTCCTGTTAAAGAAAGCTCCAGCTCGTTACCGTCCAAAACATATCCCATATCGGAAGCAGATCAAAGTCAAACCCATCTGAGTAAAGTATGAAATGGGTACCTTGGGGACGGCGTTACCGAGCTCCTTGGCATGAGCGGCGTAGTTCCGGCCAACGCCGATGATCTTGGTGCCGACTTTGAGGAGATTTTGCAAGCCAGAAGATGCTGCCGTCGCCATTTGGTCTGAGAGGACAAAATGCAGCTGGACTGACCTCAACTCTACTCTTCCTGATTATTAACATTGCTTCGTGGTGCAAATTAGCCCAAAAACTTACATTTGTATCAAATCAGTCCCCTTGCTTTTTTTCTTTTGGTTAAAACCCCTTTTTGGTCCTCAAACTATTGTACGGACCCCCGATTTAGTCCTTGAACTAAAAAAATCCCTGATTTGGTCCCTACTGTTTACCCATTTTAC